GTTTATTTTTCATCAATATCTATCATTTTTAGTGATTTTTTTGCATGTAAGTTCAATTCAACCCATGTTACTTGATTATTCAAAAATAATTCAAATAAATTGTTTAAAATTAATTGTAATTTTAAGAGTTGATTTCGGTAGATCTAATGAAAAGTTGATTTCGGTAGAGTTATCGAAATCAAGTTTGGGTCGGGATCGCCTATAGAAAAGCCGGCATCTGGGATCGTATTAAACATATAGTAATCCCGGGAATTGACCGTCTATTCTCGGTGTATTATTATTATTTTTTTTTATTATTATCATTTGAATGTTTTTGTAGAGATTTCTGAATAAGTTTGATTTGTAGTAGTTATAAAAATCTATTAAAATAACGTATTTTTTCACAGAGAAAAACGTTAATTAATTGACCTCAGAATGTCACACACACAAAATCTTATTTAATATTGTAAGTACATGTAATGGCAATGGAAGAAAAAGTAAACACAAGATGTCAATCAATTCAGCCAGAAAAGCCAGGATCGTATTAAAAATATAGGGATCCCGGAAATTGACAAGTCTAAAGATAAGCCGGGATCGTATGGGATCCCGGAATTTGACCAGTTCAAGAATATAGTCTTTAATTTTTCCAATTAATTAGGCAAATAATTATAAGTATTGTAATTTCCGCATTTTAAGTTTGTTAATAAATAGATCTAGCTCTAAATATATTTATATCCTAAGTTAAATTAATTTACCGTTCATTACATACAATAAAAAATAAAAACTTAACATTTATCGTATATAAGTACCTAATCTCACGCCCAACCTATTCTCAAACCTTTAATTCATGTGCAGTTATTTTTTTACTAGAAGTGACTATGGTGTCCTGAAGTTGTGTGCATAAAAGCTTAGTTTCTGCAGGTACTAATGTTAATATACATACCTGGTTTCTGACAGACATGTCTGCTGATGTTAAATGAAAATAGTGCATTGGAACAAATATTTACATAACATTTTTAATTACTTAGTGTAATTTCATACAAATTGCTAAATACTTTGTAAGTCCCATTAATACACCATTAACTATATGTGAAAATGAATATTATAGACAAAATATCTTAAAGCAGGTAACTGCATCGTGTAGGGTAGTCAAACTAATTAGACTTGTCAAAGAGACACCGAGATAATTTTGGACGGGCGCTGTCTTTTTCCAAGTCCAACCAACTGCATTTTTATGCACGGACGCTTCCCAATTAGAAGTTGTTGGGAGCGAAAACTAGAAAAGTTTTAAAGAAACGGCCTACTTTACCTGAAAGAGAACCGTTTTTTATGCAAGATTCCAAATTATCATACTTCAAAGTCGAACAGAAGTCTAAATATTCCACTTTATTTTTTTAAATTGTTGAAAATTATTGAAAGCGGCCATATTGGAAATTTAGAAGGAATGACGTAAGCGGTGTCATGGTAAGATTGTAAATTTTTCATGGTGTAACACAGGTATCGGCGGCAATCGATTGTATTTGTCAAGCTTTATTATGTTATTGATGTGAATTATTTCTGGAATAACTCTTATACTCACACACAAATATTTCAGCATTAAAATAAAATGTAAAAAGGAAATTATGATACACTTACTTAGAAATTAAATAGTTTATGATGTCCAACGTCAGATCATACTGTATTTAAGTCTGTTTAAATTGTCAAATTAGAATTTTTTAACATCTGTGATCATTAGGTGAAATTTCTGAACTGCACTTTTTATTTTATAAGTCTGCCATGCTTTTCCACATACGAAAATACAATGTAATTGTAGGTACATCTTAATGAATTATAATTACACTATACATGATGATGAAGCAAAGAAGAATGCATCTGCGGATGTTTCTAAATTCAAAATTCTACAATTTCATGTTTAAATGTTGAATTCTGCTTAAGCCTGTGCTAGGGGGCGTGGACGGTAACTTGCACTTTCCAGTACCGTCCATGAACAGGCTCAATCAAACCGAGCCTGCAACATTTTCAATTTTGCCGTGTTGGGCTTTCTTTAGGGATTCTGTATTTATCTATTTCAATTTGCATTACACTCCATGTCAATTTTTAGTTTATTATCTTAAAAACAATATTGAGGGCAATTGTGTAGGGGGAGACGTTCAAAACAATAAAAAATAACTTAAAAATTCTGAAAAAAAAATCCTAAAATTTCAGACTATAAAATGGAATTTCAGACTGGCCGTTTCTCAAATTAAGAAATTACAGTCGCACAGATATGACGGGGTTTAGGATAAAAACGCAGCAAGTGGGAATTTAGTGGCTGTAATTTAGACGTAAAATAACATAACAATATAAGACAGATGGGAGAAATAGTCTGTTTAACTAACTGTAGTCGTCTGTTAGAACGACTGTCGCAAAATGACACCAAAACCTCTGATACCCGTTTCAAAATTCGATGTTATCTAGTTCCCGCTTTTCATTGAACGGCACCTCGAATGTGTCACATTGAAAGTTCCATGATTACCGCCGTATTTTGTACACATCTGTGGGTGTTGATTCAAAACTTCAACATTATTATATTTAAGTGATGATTCTGTTTAAACCGACGCAAGGCAGCACTTGCACCTACCAGAGCCGTCTTCACTCATGTGTATTTATGTTTCGGTTTTGAAGTTTCAGGCGTTTTTTGGTGGGCTTTTTTGGAGGGGGGTGGGTGGATAAGTTTTTTCGGTTTTCTTTACATTTCTTTGCTTGCCTAATTGATAATCATTAATATCTGTTAACTGTTTGTTACGGTTCGGTATACATGTATAGAATACGATAAACACGATGAACAAGGAAAGGCGGCGTTCAATGAACGCAACCACCACAAGACCCAGGAACAATAACCATTGGCAAGGAGCCCAGGAGGATCCTAAACAAAAACAGGACAAGGCGCAAGGGAGAGCACGGTCAGCTTATCAATAAAATGATACATATGAAGAAATAATAGTAACTAAGTAAACAGGCACATGGGTTAGGAAATTCGGGGAAGGGGGAGGGGGCGAAATAAAGAAATAAAACTAGGGGCAAAGAAAAGATACTTACCATAGACGAGAAAACAACAAGGGACACAAACAAAAGTGTCACCAAAACAGTATGAAACAACAAGACATACAACCTTATATATGTATAAGTCTCTTAATCTGTTCATTTGAAAATTCTTATCTTTTTAATGATTTTTTTTAATATCCTCTACTTAAAATTTATTTCAACCAAAATACGTGACCCTTCGCTTATAGTTACACAGCATATGGCTGGATCACAAAAATAATCCCTTTTTAGTAAATTAATAAAGTATATCAAGAAGACATTTAACTTTGTCAGTAGGTTGAATGTTAGGTATTATATATCGGCATCGGTGAAAAAGAACTCTTGAGAATTATTTGTATATTTTTTTTTTTAAATTTAATCTTCATGCGTAACCCACACTTACCTGCTAGACACACTGGTAGCTACTACCAGCTTTCACGGAATGGATTTTTTACGATGACGTCATAACATGTCCGCCGAAGACAGTGTTGACAGTACAAATTTGAAATAAATCGCATGTATGCGTTAAGACAGGTACAATCTAATATTTTTTCTAGGAGAAGTTAGTACAAGAATTTATATTCTATTGATTTTTAGAGGGCATTGAAGTTACTTTTAGGTTTAAGCCATAAAAATCAGTCCAAACTATCGATAGTGTTGCCGGTAGATTTTCCGTGCGTAAAAATGACATTCGGAACTGCCTCGGCTATTATCTATAATATTAATCCGAAGACTGACGGAAAGGGCCGAGTAGTTGCGATTGTAAAAATGAGTTAAAATTAGGCGTAACGGTTTGACAGTAAGAAAAAAAAAGTCTGTAAAATGGGTCAAACCGTTCACGCCGAATTAATTAGGCTACGTGTAGGGTACTTCATTGTCATGTGATAGTCATACAACAATCACTTCATTGGCTAAACTAAACAGTAGAATTTTAGAGATACTTGAATGGGTTTGAGAATAGGTTCTTTATTTCAAGAGGTCAGGGTTGTGCTTTTCAAAGATGGTACTGGTCGGGGACCACCAACCGAACACTTTTTGAACATTTTTCTGCACATATTTCATAATTTTTAACCTATAGACCAAAAAATTTGACACAGTTCAGCTAGGTTCTTCTCCTAACCAACAAGCTAGTTTGTTTATTTCTGATTGTATTGACACTTATATCTGAGGCTCCACAAGGAGGGCATCAAAATATTAATTACCTAAATTGTCTACACTACAGTACCATGTGTCCGGACAGATATGTACATGATGTGATTTAATTCACATAAAAGCTTGGGTGTTTCGATTTTTAATTTTAACATGATATACAATATTTCAGCAACAAATGCTGAAGTTTTGGATATTCTATTGCTTACTCTGCAAATTATTACAGTATAGCTGGTAAATGAGATCAGGCATTGCTGTCTTGACCCCCAAATTTCAACATCAATATTTTTGAAATAGACATTAAAATATTACCATTTACGGAGGTTGAAATAAATTTATTTACTTAATTTAAGAAGAAACATGCATTTATTGTTGATAAAAAAGTGACTGACAACCACTGAACAAAGAAAATACAAATTTAAGCATTTTCGGGACCGTCCGGGTTTGGTGGTTGTCCGGTTGTGGTGGTCCCCAACCAGTAATGGAGCTTTTTTAATTGTTGAATTTCAGTCAAATTTTACAGAAATGTTACATAAAGATTACAGTAAAGTGTAGTACAGTACAATTGTAAAGAATTTTTAAAAAGATATATTTTTATTTACATTAAAAGACCTCTTGAACGCTTACAGTAGAGGTTTGAGAACTGGTTAGTCCACGATACTGTAATCGCCTTTCATTACGACAATAATCAACACAAATTTCCCTCTACTGTATATGTAAAACGATCCCGGATCCCGGGATTCTCTGCCCCCCCCCCCCCCGGAAATGACGTAACACAGGACATCGTCACATCTCTATTTTTAGTGCCATGCAAGTAATGTCCGAAAATTTAAGAAATTACTAATTAGTGCAAATAACTACTGAAAGCAGTGTAAGAAATTCGGATTTGAATCCACTAGTCTGGTCGGACTACCAGATTGGAATATTCATTAGCCCAGAAGACATTTCACTAGCACGATTCATTTGTTCAAAACATTTGTTTATATTGTTAGCCTGGTCGGGCTTGTTACTGTGAAAAGATGGTTGCCCGAGGGGAAATTAAGTAGTCGGGGACTATCGGACTACCGCTAATTTCGAACACTGTGAAAGTGCCTAACTACAGAAGTTTTGGACTAAATTTAGACCGGTAAGCGATAGTGTTATTATCCGGTACAAGTCAACCCGGCCCCAAGTCAACCCGGCCCCAAGTCAGCCCGTCCCCAAATTGGTCAACCCGGCCCCAAACCAATGTTATTTCTGGTCAACCCGGCCCCATTTTTTTTATTATTTATTTTGCTTTACAATATAAACACTTATATTTTACAAAGTAATTATTTTTTATTATTTTTTCTTGATACGATGTTTTATAATAATAAAATGATTTTACATGCAAAATATCGTTAAATTTTGTCCATAAATAAAAAAGTTATTTGTCCATAAATAAAAAAGTTATGAGTTATATTCGAATTACGTTCTATAAAAGTCATATCCGTAGCGAACAGAAGATACCGAATATGACTTATATTTTATAAATTGATTATTTTTTTATTAACTTTTCTTGATTAATAATAAAATGATTTTACATGCAATATATCGTTAAATTTGGTTTATAAATAAAAAAATAAGTAATGTAGGTGAGGAACACACGTACAACACCAGGTCAAGTTTTAAAAGTTTTTATTGGCTACTAGTTTCGAGTAATACAATACTCTTCATCAGGCTTAAATAAAAAAGTTATAAGTTATATTTGTTTTTTTATATATATATATAAAATCATATCTGTGAAGAACAGAAGATATCAAATATCATTATATGACTTATATTTTATAAAGTAAGTGGGTTTTTTTTGTCTGGATTACAGTGAAATAACATGCAAATAATCGTTAAATTTGGTACAATTAATAATAAATCATTTTTATTCCATCATACAACAAGATGACTTAAATAATTTTCTTTGAAAATATATATTTTGGGGCCGGAATGACCGATTTTGGGGCCGCATTGACCAATTTTGGGGCCGCATTGACCAAATAAAAATACTGTGGGGCCGGATTGACCAATTTTGGGGCCGGGTTGACCAATTTTGAGGCCGGGTTGACTTGGGGCCGGGTTAACTTGGGGCCGGGTTGACTGTAATTCTTATTATCTATTATTAGGTCTAGTATATCGCCAGATTAGTGCATGATGCACCAGTATGATTATCATGCAAAATTATCTTTGAAGATCCTTTATTTTGTAGGAAATGGCGGGCCCGTACGGCTAGCCAAAAGTTCTAGGCATACGTGAGTCACGTACGACTAGCAAGAACACACTGTCTGTATTGGCTAGCCGTACGGCACTTTTCAAAATTATATGGAAGTCGAAAATGCATATGTTATGTCATGACTTTAAACGAGGATTTTTACCAAGAAATAGCAATACACCGATTAACACTTTTCCCAACTATCAGACGACAGGCTTTTCTTATCAGTAGTTTTTTGAGTAACAATAACCGGTTACGTATCTCACTCAGTCACTGTATAAATCGTATGTAAAAGAGGCTGACATATGGTAGGTTTAACAGTTAATTTAAATAATTTGGTGTCAAAAGATATGTAAAATTATATACTGTGACAAAGCTAAGATCCCAAGCTTTCCATTGATGTAATAATTTTTACATTTAATCACAACAAACTAGCGGTTTAAAAATGGCTTAATTTGTATTGTTTTAGCGTAGATGAGATACCAATTTTACTCGAAGATAAGGGAAACAACTCGTATTTTTTCACTCGTTATACCTCAGTTATTTACCTAGTTCATATGAAAAGTGTTAATGGGTGTATTGTCTTCGTTGTTCTGGCTTCCATAACTTTATATGTCGCTTTTATTTTGACGTTGCGACAGTAAAGTTATGGGTCAGCCCTATTTGCAAAGGCTACCAGAATTTGGCAGTTTGTGTGCCGTACATAAAAACCTATAAAATCACCCTTATTAATATCATTTTCACTGTAGCTGAACTATATCTGAATGCGGATGAAAAGAATATCATAAATAAAAGGAATATCATGCAAAATATATGGTGCCATGCATAAATTTTTCTCTTCAGAAAATGAAAGTAGATGTCACCATAACTCATGTTAAAAATGTAACAAAATTAGAGAAATTTAACAGAACTATATTTTAAAATTGATGATGTGACGTCATGATGTGGTGACGTCATAAAGGAGAATGCGCTACATTACGCTGTAAAATCAGTAAAAATACTTAAAATCACTTATAAAGCGTGAAATAAAAAGAAATTTATTTGTTTTGCACAGAAGATTGAAATATATTTCATTCGTGAAGACCAGCTATTCCATTTTCACTCGTGGCTATGCCACTCGTGAAAATATTGCATCTGGTGTTCACTCAGTGAAATATATTTCAATCTTACATACAAAACAAACAAATATCCTCTAAAGGTTTCTTAAAATTTAACACATTTCCTAATTGAAAAACCATGTCCTGATAAAGGGTCTTATTGTTGAAATAATACAAATATGAATCTGTTTAGTCATCATTTTATTTATACCTCTCAAAGAAGAGATATTTCCTTTTTATACTGATATGCAATTATAATTTTAAGCCTCGAAATATTATGAAATACATATCAACATGCATTCTGTATAAATAACATGTTTGATTAACATTAAATACCATGTTCGTGTTGACAATGCAAGGTTATTTTCCAGGGTGCATTCTCTTCAGGACAGGACACAAAAGACAGCTACCTACATTTAAAAAGAGAGTATAGTTTAGAAGCCTGAAACTTATGCATTGCATTAAGTATATCATATGTAATGTTAAATTATAAACTTGATCTTTTCTCTTTGGTATTTTTTTGCAATCCTTTAAGAATGCTTTATTAAAATATTTAAGCGTAAAATTTAGATAACACTTACCTTTTACTGTGCATTTTCTCTGTTATGCTTGACGTCATACCACTTGTTAAGTCCAAAGTTACAGGGGTGCCTTATCACTGTCAGCTGTACTTGAATAAAAACAATAGAAATCAGTTCATTTATTCATAAATATAAAGACAAACATATTTTTTATTATCACACATATAATACTTTTAATAAATACTTAATTTCAGTTTTATTAATATTTTTTTTTAAATTATCCGGCCACTAGTGGATATCCGAAGACTACTCAACTTTTTAAAAATCAACTAAAAGGGGTTGCCTCTCAGTCTCTGTAAATATATATAAATCAATATTACAGTATTTCAGAGTTCTAGACATTGAAAAAGAAATTAAATAACATATAAGTTGTTCTAGAAGTTTATTTTTATAATAGTGCAATAGATCTTTATCTTACAGTGTTTGTTTTTTATTTTGATCAAAATACCTATTTTTTATCGTTTTATAGACTCAAATATTTTTTGTTTGATAACAACATAAAACAGAGTATACCTTACCTTAAAGCCTGTTTCTACTTCTTTTTTTTCTGCTAGTAGGAATTGAAACTTATTATTTTTGTTAAATGACCTCTGCTAAACAGACGAATTATAAATGGTGTCAATTAACAAAGGGACGTAACTCTTGCAATTTACAAAAATAGAAAGAGCCCATTTATTAGTAAAAATGAATTATTTAAACAAAAATACACAATATTCAAGCAAATAATATGTTTTCTTTACATTTTAACAAATTTTTGGTTGTAATAGTCAAATATTTGTGTGGAAATGCATTTTTGTATAAAAAGATATACATAAGACAAAATCAAAGAAACATATTACAACGTTTATAATGAAGAAATCAACTTAAAAAATTGTATATTTTCAATTACAACATTTTTATTTTGTCTTCTTAATATTTTTAAGTATGGTATTAAATGTTTCCTTGGTATAACAAATAATTTAAATCAGTGAATTGGAGTGGAACTATATAAATCAATTATCACAAAATATGGTGGCCATCTTGGACGCCATCTTGGATTAAAATGTTGTGACACAGGTAAGGTTAGTGCAACATGCAGTTTCATATACTACATATCCTAACGTTTAATTTGGTATATAGAAACCCTTGTTTACAGACATAGACCGGTATGTCCAAGAAAGAGACAAGATATCCCCATTTGTTTGCAGCATTAATAATGATTAACAACAAACTTTATAGTGATGATTTATCATAAATGTTTTCAGAAATAGGTAATACTTAATTGAAAAGGTAGTATACAGCTATGTTATACAGTAAATCCTTTTTTTCAAGTTTGAATACTTTCACATTGAATCAATTATTATGCTTTGTATATGAACTGTAAACATATCTGCACATAGATTTTCATTTTACATGCTTAAATAAAACCCTGATCCCAAAACTCACTAGACATGCACTATGGCAAAGTTCAATGGTATAGAAAAAATAAAGTTCTGATTTTTTTCACAAATGCAATCTTTTTAAGCATAAAATCTGCCAAAGAATTTGGATACACTGATTACATCAAAAACTGTCTATAGGGTCATTGGTAGGTATGTGAACAGAATTTTTCTCCAGGAAATAAAATTAGGCCAAAAGAAAGATTTTGTTCTCGGCACTTTAATAACAAAGATGAGTTTGTATGCTCATTTTTTTATATTAAATTCTGTTAAAAATTGTTTTATTTTTTCAAACTTTATTGAATTGGATTCAAACTTGGAGAAAGCACATTTCAATCAATTTTGGAAGACATCGTTGAACCTTGTTTCATGTCCATATCAGTTGAGATATCAGATATCACTTATGTTATTTTTTTTATGTAAAGACTTTATGTTTGGACATTAAGGGGTGTAATTTCTGATGCTGAATTGAATTTTCATATCAGCTGACCTGCTTCGATTTCTTTGATATCATTTGACCTACTTTCTTGTTTATTGACATACAGACTTGTTATTTGGATAAGGGGTGTAATTTGTGATGCTGAATTTTCATATCAGCTGACCTTCTTTTGATATTTTTTGCATTGTTTTACCCATTGTCATTTTTAGGTACAGTTATATTAACATAAAAAAATTATAGAATATATAAAAACTTTGTTACTTCAAACATCTTCACCTTACATATTTTACATGTGACATTTTGTGTATTCATGAATCATAAAAGTTATGAAAAAAGTCCTATCAGAATTACCCCTGCTCTATTGGTCAATTATTCTGCATTTATTCTACATAGTCTCATAGGAATACACTTGCAACATAAATATTTTTAATAAAGCCTTTCCAAAATATTAGAAAATATTTTCAGTTTATAAAGTGGACAATGAATGGTGGGCCATATAAATGATCTAGGGTCATCTTGGCCATATGGTTTATTATGAAGGAAAAAAGCAATCATTGCTGTAAAGTATATAGCTACATGGGCAAGTTAAAGTTGAGCTTTCTAACACTAAAGCTTTCTAACACTAAATAACAGTTGTTTCTGGTGAGCGACTAAGGGCCATCATGGCCCTCTTGTTCAGTATTTGTAAAGTTCTTGCCCTTTACTTAGTAAAAGATTTTTAGTTTTCAAAAAATATTTGACCTAGAGTCATAAGATTGACAAAACAGTGGCACGGTGGGGGCACCCATGTCCTATGGACACATTTCTAGTTTAGTCTTATTCTATATCAAGTTTTCAAACTAAATATTTTACTTTTGCATGCAACATTAATTATATTTTCTTTTTTCTCATACTAATTTAAGAAAACGACAATCAGTTTTACCAACTATGACCACCGATATGAACGACAATTACCCTCAGCAAGTATCAGATGATCAAGCCAGGTCTGAGAGAAGTAAAATGGTATTATCAACTGGTATTTCACTTCCGGCAAATTTTCACTGTGACTCAAGATTTGTTTTTGATAGGCGTGAAAAAACGTCACATCGACTGAACGGTTACGGTGAAAACCCACTAAATACATATGTCAGCCAAGCTCAACAAAGCAGACAGGGAAATGAAGTCCGTTCTCCAACAATAAGAAGTAACATTTCAAACAACCCTGTCATTACAAGGCCACCTAGGCACCCCGACTATGTTGATAGTAGCGAAAGGCGTCGATCTTATGATAGGTGGTGGCATCGAAAACCTGATCCTCAAACATTGACCAATGCTGGATTCTTCTATACAAGTAAGTGAACAGACGAGAAGCAAATGTCAAGAAATGTGAATGATTTTATAGAGTAACACAATAAATGTTTCTATATATAATAGAGTTAAGTATCGCCAGAAAGAAAATGCCACGGTTAACCATGTTTTTTTTTCCTAAAAACCACGGTATAAACTGGCGTGGTATACCACGTATTTTCATTGTATGCTATAGGTTTATTTTTTATCTCAAGGTAAGCTGGTATAGAATTTCAAATAATAAATTTAAGCTGATCTATAAAATGCAGATTAATCAAAGCATCATTTAATTTTTTAGCTCATCTTGCACATAGTGCAGGTGAGCCTTTAGGATGGCCAATCAAATGCGTCCGGCGTCCGGCCACATTTTATTCAAATGACATCTTCTATAATACTACTTGGCCAATATTAATGAAACTTGGCAGGAATACTCTTTGTATGAAGATCTATAAAGATTATTCAAAGAATGCCATTCCATGCTAAGCTCTGGTTGCTATGGCAACTAAAAGAAAAAACTTAAAAGTTCTTAAACTTCAAAATGGAAAGGGCTAGAGCTTAGATATTTCTCACACGGCATAAGCTTGTTGGTTTCTACAAAGTATATTCAAATTATGGTCTAGAGTTGAAAATTGGTCTCTGTTTTGGGGGTTAAAGGGGTTTTTTATTGCAAGATTATATAGACTTTCTTTGTAGGGATAAATTGAGATAGTGTATCTTGTATTTTTTGTCTCAACAGTCATTGTTATGAAGATTTTTCTGTTAACCTATTATCCCATGAGCATATTGCGAAAAATGGCTGTTTTCATTGAAAAGCCTCCTGTAACAAGTTCAAACTGCTATGAAACTATGAAAAATGCTTCAATACAAATGAAACTTGGCACAAATCTTGACTACACCATAGCCTCTGTAACAGCATGCAGACTTCCCAAAAGTTGAAAAAAACTGTCAGACATTCGGTCTGACAAACCATGAAAATCTGTCGGACCGAAACGAAATCTGTCGGACCATATAAAATTGATCAAAATCAAAGAATAGCGTGTGTTTGTATTTCTAAGACACTTTTTGTTTTTAATTTTTTCGCCGTAAAAATCGGCACATTCCTTACAGCGCATTTTCATCTCCTTCCTATCATACACCAACGATTCATTGTCTTGCTTCTAATTATGCCCCCATTTTGAAGAAAAGGGGGTATATTGCTTTGCACTTGTCGGTCCGTCGGTCCGTAGACCAAATGGTTTCCGAGTGATAACTAAAGAACCCTTAGGCCTAGGAACTTCAAACTTGGTATGGTGATTGGTCATGACCAGTAGATGACCCCTATTGATTTTGGGGTCAAGGGGTCAAAGGTCAAGGTCACATTGACCTTGAAAGCAAAAACGGTTTCCGATCAATAACTAAAGAACCTTAAGGCCTAGGAACTTCAAACTTGGTATGGTGATTGGTCATGATCAGTAGATGACCCCTATTGATTTTGGGGTCAAGGGGTCAAAGGTCAAGGTCACATTGACCTTGTAGGTAAAAACGGTTTCCAATCAATAACTAAAGAACCTTAAGGCCTAGGAACTTCAAACTTGGTATGGTGATTGGTTATGACCAATCAGATGACCCCTATTGATTTTGGGGTCAAGGGGTCAAAGGTCAAGGTCACATTGACCTTTTAAGCAAAAACGGTTTCCGATCAATAACTAAAGAACCTTAAGGCCTAGGAACTTCAAACTTGGTATGGTGATTGGTCATGATCAGTAGATGACCCCTATTGATTTTGGGGTCAAGGGGTCAAAGGTCAAGGTCACATTGACCTTGTAGGTAAAAACGGTTTCCAATCAATAACTAAAGAACCTTAAGGCCTAGGAACTTCAAACTTGGTATGGTGATTGGTTATGACCAATCAGATGACCCCTATTGATTTTGGGGTTAAGGGGTCAAAGGTCAAGGTCACATTGACCTTGTAGGTAAAAACGGTTTCCGATCAATAATGAAAGAACCCTTAGGCCTAGGGACTTCAAACTTGAGATGGTGATTGGTCATGATCAGTAGATGACCCCTAATGATTTTGGGGTCAAGGGGTCAAAGGTCAAGGTCACATTGACCTCTTAGGTAAAAACGGTTTCCGATCAATAACTAAAGAACCCTTAGGCCTAGGAACTTCAAACTTGTTATGGTGATTGGTCATGATCAGTAGATGACCCCTATTGATTTTGGGGTTAAGGGGTTAAAGGGCAAGGTCACATTGACCTTGTAGGTAAAAATGCTTTCCGATCAATAACTTAAGAACCCTTATGCCTAGGAACTTCAAACTTGGTATGGTGATTGGTCATGACCAGCAGATGACCTATTGATTTTGGGGTCAAGGGGTCAAAGGTCAAGGTCACATTGACCTTGTAGGTAAAAACGGTTTCCGATCAATTTACTAAAAACGCTTAGGCCTAGGAACTTCAACCTTTGTGTGATGATTGGTCATGACCAGCAGATGACCCCTATTGAGTTTTAGGTGAAGGGGTCAAAGGTCAAGGTCACATTGACCTTGTAAGTAAAAACGGTTTCTGATCAATAACTCAAGAACACTTAGGCCTAGGAACTTCAAACTTGGTATGGTGATTTGTCATGACCAGCAGATTACTCCTATTGATTTTGGGATTAAGCCCAAAGGTCAAGGTCACAATGACCTTGTAAGTAAAAACGGTTTCTGATCAATAACTAAAGAACGCTTCGGCCTAGGAACTTCAAACTTGGCATGGTGATTGGTCATGACCAGCAGATGACCCCTATTGATTTTGGGGTCAAAGGTCAAGGTCACATTGACCTTGTATGTTAAAACGGTTTCCGATCAATAATAAGAGAACCCTTAGGCCTAGGAACTTCAACCTAGGCATGGTGATTGGTCATGACCAGCAGATGACCCCTATTGATTTTGGGGTCAAGGGGTCAAAGGTCAAGGTCACATTGACCTTGTAGGTAAAAACGGTTTCTGATCAATTTACTAAAAACGCCTAGGCCTAGGAACTTCAAACTTTGTATGATGATTGGTCGTGACCAGCAGATGACCCCTATTGAGTTTTGGGTCAACTGGTCAAAGTCATGACCAGTAGATACTTTATAACCCTTATTATTGTTTGATCACTGGGTCAGAAGTCATGCATAATAACCTTATCACATGACTAATTGGCTGCTGATAGAGGGCATACATATCTTGTTTTCATTAAATTTTGTCTCAGGTCCTTCTTTTTATCCTTTTACTACTGTTCTGCGCGTTCCTCTGACGTAGATTTTTGATTTTTCCAAAGGTTTGGCACCTTTAGCGACGCCATTTTGTATACATGCGGCTTGGATAAAAGCCGGACAGTCGGACCGATCCGGAATAAAAACTCGTCGGACCTGATCAAAATTTATCGGACATGTCCGTCGGACCAACGTATTTTGGGAAGTCTGAGCATGCTCAATGGTAAATTTCCTGTTACCATGGCAACAGGGGGACGTCTCAAAATCGCCAAAAATCACTATTTTGCATTGCTTTTTCCATCAAAACTGATTTCAAAGTGCTGCAACTTCTCAATGAATTGACATAGAGTAAAAGCCTTTTCAGCGTAGGTTACTTGTTACCCTAAGATCAACCTGAGGCCATTTTTAGCCTGTCACATGTCCAAAATTTTCTTGGCGATTCTGGCAACCCCCTGATGTAATATTTGGATGGGGGACGGCGGCGAAAAAGTGGTCACTTTTTTTAACAACATTTCTCAAACGAAAAACAGTGTTTGGGGCCGTATATAGGGCATTTTTTCACTGTTTGAGGCCTCAAAAAGGGGGGGGAGCAAAAAGCCGTCGAAACACGCTTATATAAGGGAAAAGGTTAAAGCATTAGAAAGGTGAAAATGTTGTTGAATGTGAATGTTAATTCAAAACAAAGTCAATCAGAATAGCACAAATTTGAGAGCTACAGTGAAGTTGATTTCCCCATTCAATAAGGGATTCTTCCATTAATTTCGTAACACCATCAGAAAGGAGATTGTGTCATTTCTGAAATACAATGTAAAATGTTTCGGTTCTTGACATTGACTTGCACATTTTATTGTGTAAGATATTGCACAAAGAAACGAAAGTGAACAAAAATGTTGTATTTCTTTCACAAAAATTAGCTGATTTAGATAAAAGTTTAATTTACAGTACGGATATTACTTAAATATATCCTTCTGGTTTGCGGGAAAATCATATATTTCAACAATGTGTACACCAGTCATACTTATAAATGAATTATGTCATAATATTTCATTCTGAGAACAAACATACAATTCAAGTCATTAAATTAAATGCATATCAATCAGTCCATTCAACAGCTTTGCCTCAGAAAACATCTGTATCAATTTGACTTATAAACAAAACTAAACCGGAAGTATGACAAAATGGCAGCCTTGCAAAAGAAAATTGAGAAATTTTGTAACATAAACTTGTATTTCAAAACAAAGAAGTGAAGATGAAAAAAATTATCGGTGTGCTTCGTTGAAACAGGTATTTTGTTAACTATTTGTGAAGTATTAAGGCATGACATTCTGTAAATTTTATGTAAATATCACCTCCTGTGTTATGATTTCTAAAATTATACATGTACAGGGTTTTCGGGGACGCTTATTTCGGTGTACCGGTCACCTGTTCATTACAGCTGGACGCAAATATTTCAGAGGATTCTGCGTATGCTTAATTTTGCCTGGGGACGCATAAACATTACCTATTGTTAACAATCACAAATAGACAAATATGTCAGCGCGTGTCAGTCTATAGGTAGGCGGTCCTATGCACATCGACCAGTGAAGCGATTAGCCAATCAGCGATAACACTTTCGATCATTATCACGCAATAGAGATACATGGCTGTAGATGTAATTACCAGATATAACACGAGGTGATAATTTTTTATCTTTGATCAACTGTTATAGTTGATTGGAAATAAGCAAATTTTACCGACAAAAGTATTAACTATTGACTATTTACGCAGCAAGTTAAAAGACTGTTT